CCAAGCAAGTTGTTGCACTCGACCTCCAAGCAAGTTGTTGTTTACGTCACACCAGAAAAGCCGGCCAAATACAAAACAGTCCACCAAAAACTGGCCTTGTGTCAGAGCTGTACACGACAGCAGGCAGTTGGCTGAAGTTGCCAGCATCTATCCAAGATCGCTCTCGTTGCTGCTTGAACAGCACTGACCTTGATCGAAACACAGCTCGCTGGACACAGTGAACGGATGTATTGAAAGATTGCATGACTGCTGCGGCATGACTGACTTGACGATTTCAATTTCTCTCTATCAAAAGCTCAGGGCCTAGCATCACTCTTTCCAATGGTCTTATCATAACGGCGGCTGTCAAAAGGTTAGTTTCCGTAGTTGGTCTTTCAAGCCATGTGGTAGCCTTCTTAGCGCGAGTACGCTGCACCTTCTGGAAATCAAGCTGGCCTGTTTCACTAAGTACTCCTGTCAACAACATCGCCGATTCTGAAGAAGCGCCCGAGCCAACGACTACATGCTCCACCTCGCAGTGACCAGTGCTTGCTTGCATTCACAATTCAAAAACAAGTTGAACTGAATGAATGGCCCATGGCCTGGCCTTGCCATGAAGAGAATTCCTGGGATGGGTTCCAAATATGTCACATGTCTATGTAATCTAATGCTGTGATTGTGATGATTCTTAAGTGTTGATTCATGATTCATGCATCCTTTCTAACACCTACTAACTGAGGGCCAAACCAAGCTTGTCTCAACAACCCATGGAAAGCAAGGCCGAGCCTTTGGGAAAAAGAACTTTGGCATTCCACCACCGCCAAAGTTGACAATAGCATAGTCAACCGGTCAATCACACCACAGCCAAACATCACTTGACTGTTTGACTGCATAGAGTCATAGAGGTCCAGACGCATAGTAGCGGATGCAGTCGCCACAGGCTGTCCATCTGCTTAAAACCGGAATGAGAGGTCGGCAATGAAACCTGGAGCAAAGGCCAGGGCTAAGGCGGCTAAGGAGAGGCTTGACTGACTATAGACTATAGACTATAGACATCCATAAATAATGAGACTCTGAGCACAATGCAAGACATCTGCTACCGCAATCCAAAAACGCACTCCTTGGTTGGGTTAGGCTTGTATAATCTTGTATATATTATATAACTGGTGCAAGAAACTATCAACCAACTGCCAAGAACAATACAGGGCCCTGACTAGATTCTTCCTTGTTCTTGCAGCAGTTGAGAGAACAGTGATGCACAAGCTTTGGCTGCCTCCAATCCTGAAGGAGCTATATCCCGTTGACTCTGACTACGATCCAGACAGACTACTTGAACAAATAAAGTGTTTTGTCTTTGACTCAGGGCGCAGCCCCATTTGCTATTGCAAGAATAGCTGCTTGTGCTGATGCCCTGGATTGTCCGTCTTCCGGTTCGTGGTTCAATCTGGGGCCTCACAGTTTGCTCAATTCGATCATGTTTTGAATCCCAGCAAGACCAGCCTTCCCCTAGACAGGTATCAAGCAGGCTTGCGTTGTATGCAAGGTTGGCTTCAGTAGGCCTGCAAATTTGGGAAAGGGCGCAGCAGAAGCGTACACTACTTGGTTTACGGATGCTCCCGAATATGCAAGCAGAACTAATATGGACTATATTGTAGACTGGACCATAGGCTATAGCCAGTCATAGTATAGGCTATAGGCAGTGGAATAGGCAAAGGCAATTTTCACATTGTATAGAAGCAGGCAGCTTGGCCTGTCGTAGCGCACTTCCAAGCAACTGTCCACGATCTTTCTTGCGTGAACCAAGAGTTCATAGTACACGGAGCCGTTTGTAAAGAGCGAAGAGGGGCAAAACCTGAGTATTGTTCACTGATTATGATTTTTCCATGAAAGCAAACAGAAAGAAGTGTGCCAGGAAACATTGGAGAAAGGTCACCTAAAGTTTTCAGCGCGATCTCTGAGCAATGGTTGACTTGATGCCTCAGCCCCAAGATGCCCCAAGAAACAAATACATGCAGCAGCCGATACTGAGGGTTGAGGACATGGCAATTGACAACTCTGCCGAAGGACCTGACAGGCAAACTCTGTTCTGACGGATTGTATGATATATTATCAATATTGTATTATAATCTGAATTATAGCGGCTATAAGGCTATAACTTATTTATCATCATGCACCATAATCTATGGTGCATGGTCCATGATTTGACTCTGTGTGACTCAGAATCGTTGACTGGGCCTCCAGCTAGTGTGTTATCCTGCCCTGTGTCGCCCACGTTCTTCACCATTGCTTTGTTGGCTGAAGCACTGTCGCAAACAAAGCACACAACCAAGACCTTGCACTTGGTGGCCAAACCTAAGTGAAAGGAAGAAGTTGTTACTTATATCTTATATGATGTTGACTCAGTGACCCCGAACAAGCAGTTTCCCGTCGCTGCCTGTCTGTATCATCTCAAGAAAAGAACTGGGAATCCACACTTAACGGCTCAACCACACTAGATTTTACTAGCGCCTCCCACAATGCTGGCGCAGTCTTGCGTCTCAACACTGCAGGTGGATTCACTGCCTCCAAAAAGAACTCTGGCCCACTTTGCTGCCAAACAATGTTATCTATCAATCATCTATAATCTATCAGAATCATACCAATCATCACAGTCAAAATGAACCTAAACAACGCTACTCAGCGACTCAGGACATGACAAAAAAACGCTTGATCATTCCAGCTGGCTCATCAGCGATGAGCATTGTAGTTTTTGAAACCTAACGGCAAGAATGTGTGGCTGCAGCGAGGTCAACTTAGATAAAAACACACATCTGGACTCTGAACCAACAAAATCAGACATGTGGCCATGACCCCCATTGTGGTGTTGGTTCTGTTCAACCGCATTTGTTGCCCAGTCTCATCAAATTCCACGTGTACACCAATAACCCTTGCAGGGTGCTCATCCTGGCCAAGGTTGTTGGAAGTTGTTGGGGCATTTCTTTTTTGGGGGGGAGGAGGTGGCGCCTGCATCATCTCCTGCGAAGCCAATTCCTTTTGCTTCTTCAAGTAGAACTGGCACAAGGCGTTACTTGCCTGGAAAGGCAAGCGCAAAACTCAAGACCCGATTCACAGTCCAAAACCGCGACAAACCAAAGGACCAAACCCATCAAAATCCCAAGAACTGTTCCTTGACGGGCCAAAAAAATTGTGCCTTGGCAATCATTGAAGCTGAAGAACCCATCCAATAAGCCATGGAGTTGAGGGAAAACCTGAGCTAGATTCTGTCGTTGTTTGAAAGTTGTTTGGCCTTCTTGTTTCTTGTTTTAAACTTTTTGTACATACATGCCGCTAGGGCACATTGTCGGTGACTTGCTCTTTAACTTTGGTAGTTTCAGCACACCGTTTCTTGTACGCCGCATCTGCATATCTGCCACTGATCGACCAAACCTTGGACAAGCCAAGATCACCCTGGACCCTACAACATCTACAGTCAACAGTCTGCAGTACAGAGTTAGTTCAAAAATTTCACACATCACATCTTTTCTTATTATTTTAAATAGCATGGGCCATGGTCATGAGTCATGACCACGTTTGTCTTGCGCAACCCAGCACGGAGAGGTGCCGCAGTTGTCCAGCTTCTGTATTGACCTGTCACTCAAAGTTCGGTAGCAAGACGACTATGACTAATTAATATTATATACTATTCTGCTAAAAAGTGACTGTGTGTGTCAGTGTACGCAGTTACTTATCCCCAATCCATCTCAACCCGCCTTTTCCACGAACCTTCTTCTGATGCAAATTATCGAGGTCAATGATATCTTGTGCTCGCACTGCGTGATCAGTGTTGAATTTCTGAATCTTGCTCCTATCATGGGGCTGTCTATATGTCCGTATCCAACACAGTTCAACCGATTCTGAAAACACACAGCGCCAATGCCAAGACTGTTTCAAGTTTCAATAATACATCCTGCCTCACAGATGAAAACTTCTGCATGAAAGACTTCTGAAGTTGTTTTTTTGCTTTGCCTACCGAGCGGTACCAAAAAGTGAAAAACAAGCAACTTAGGAAACAGAGACTCATCATTCGAATCGAACGCCTGCTCTAGCAATGGCCATCCGTGTGTTTGGACAAAGCCATAGCCCTCGCTGACATCTCTGTATTTGTGCAGTGGTACGCAGCACCAGCTGCTGTGCTACCCCAAGCGCCGGCATGGCAAGTTGCTTCGGTCAACTTGCTTAATTACTGTAAGTATTGAGTCCTGAGTCCTGCTAAAATAGGTTGTGGTCCTGCTCTGCCACCCTCATGAATTGCTCCAACATCTCCGAGAATCGGCGCAGCGGAGGACATCCCTTTGAGTCCTTGAGGTTAAAGTTTTGAGCAAACACATATTTCAACAGTCTCGTCCTGCGCGACAACAGCAACAGCCCACTGCTCAACTGTCCATCTGAATCTGCACATCGCAGCGCAGTTAGTAAGTGAGAAATCCCAAGGGTAAGTCAGTCTCAGTCAGTCTGTAGTATAGTCTGAGTCATATCATATCGAATCATATCCTATCGTCTATCACGTCCCCGTAAACTAACAAGCGCACCCTGTAACCTGTACCATCCTGTGTACCTGTACCCGCGCGCGTTGTGCCTGTACCCGCGTCTGTACCGCCGTACCAAGTACCCGTACCCGTACCCGTACCACCGTACCAAGTACCCGTACCCGCACCTGCACCACCGTACCAAGTACCCGTACCCGTACCCGTACCACCGTACCAAGTACCCGTACCCGTACCACCGTACCAAGTACCCGTACCTACGCGCGTACCTACCCGCAAGGCCCGCTATAGACACATAGGGAATCATTGCTCTGTGATATTGCACAAGGGTTTGGGTGGACTGGCCGTATCCATGCCCACCCCAATGTACACCCTCAAGAAACATAAGAACACCTATATAGATACAAAAACAAGTAAGATGATCCTACATGAGTGACCTCAGGAACGTTCAACGCTGACCCACAACATAGCAAAGCAGGCTGAACTTTCCCCAGTTGCTCTGTGACTTGCGTGCACCAGCGATCATTCCATTGAATGAAGCTGGTCTTCTCCAGGAAGTTCCACACCTGTGACTTCCAAACAAGCATGCAAGAGACTATGTTCCTATTCGCCAACCCTGGACGAAGCCGGGGACCGCGAAAGGGAATAAGGGGTTGTAGGTCTCTGCACTGCCTGGCTCTAGGTTTGATGATTTTGATGTTTCTGCACAGAACTAGATATCCCATTGCGGGGGCGGCTGCAAATGGTACGTGCTTGTTGTTTGTTTGCATTGAACTAGATGATTCAATTATGTTTCGAGGTGCAAAAGAGGTCGCGCAGTGTGGAGGATGTGAAGTCTTAGACGGCTAGATGGGTCAAAGGTGTGGCCAGGGCAGGTCTTGCGTTTGTGAGTTGGGCTTGTAGCTAAATGGGTTTGTCTTTAAAGTCATTTACATCGCACTGATTGACTCTGTCTGGACTTCCCCACAGTTGCATGGACGTGCTTGAAAACATTGACTCACGCCAGTGTCTTTGATCGGCAGTTCCGATTAAAAAAACCTTTTCACCAGGCAAGACCGATCCATCTTCAACCAAATCATCCAAATGGTCAAAAATTGCAACTTATGAGCATGAATGTTAGCAGATTGGGTTTCTCTGTCATCTTGTGACATTTAACGACGACAGCCTGTTTTCGTTATATACGGCATTATTATCATTGTCTTTAAATCTGTTGACAGTTGCTTCAAACCTTTGGCCTTTGGCCGCACATAACATTCATAATATTGTTGTTGACGCCAGCTGCCACTTTTGCATACTTTTGCCCATTCGTGGGATTTGGTGGGGCTGACATTTGATTAAGGGTTTGTGGTACTGTTGCGGTTTCTCTCGAATGGGGTGTCGCAAGCTTTTTACGTTTGCTCTTCTCAGGGTCGGCAGCACGGGGCCGCAGCCCTTAAACATATACATGGGGGTGCTCCTTATGCTACCGACCCGAATTCTGCATCACTAACTCACCAAAAATGGCCTCACGAGAAAGTAGCAACTCCGCTAAGTTTCCTCTTCATTCGCAGAAACTAAGTTCAGCATGTTCAGCCTAGCCTCATAAGCCGCTTTGAGCTGCTTCCAGAGGTTTTTGGACGATGTTTGATCAATTTTTGCAACGCTCAAGTAGTCTTAGTACAGACATCGTGTAAAGTACGGAGTTATTGCACTGATTGAGTGAACATGCCACTGTTAGCAACATGCTGAATGTAAGAAACATACAGTGAAACACATGGCTTTGGGTTCCCAATCCAAAGCCTCGTAAATGCAATGTTTTTTGGCTTGCCGAGGTTCAAACACATCGGTGTTTCCCGTGTTGCTTTGGCTTCGATTGGTTCGCACTAATGCGAAAACACAGTATAGAGCCACAGTTTTGGGATCGTTTCCTGAGGTTCAACTGTGGTATTTTCCTTGTGCAGTTTTGGTACTATGGCACGCGCGCTGAGAACATGCTTCAAAAAATAGCGTTCTCGGGGCGCACGCATCCTCCTCCTCCTCCTCCTCATCCTCCTCCTCCTCCTCATCATCATCCACCACCACCACCACCACCACCACCACCACCACCTCTATAACAGCAACAGCCACAACAATAACCCCTTGTGGCATGGCCGGTAGTAGTGTACGAAGCTCTACACAATATAGACAAGATTTTACATATGACTCATGTCTCAAGTCCGGGCTTCCCTGCATGCACCGGTGGTGGACGCGTGAGCTCCAGTTTCTGTGGCTGTCGCGAAGTTACTCGCAGCGCTCCTCTGACCCCACCTGCATCACTCCTGCAGAAAAGGAAGCTACTAGGAACAAAGGGCATCGCTACTATGAGCAAGTACGCTACTAGTAGCTCCTGGCATTACTACTAGTAACAAGAAGCTACTAGTAACATTTGTCAAGTTGGTACTGGCGGCGGGCTGCCTGTGCACAAGCCCCATGCAGCAGAAAACGCACATATCTGATATCTTCAAAAGCTAGGATTGCAAAAACATTTTGCACGTGGGCGGGACAAAACTTGCAGTGAAACTTGCAGCAAATAGCCTGGACAGTGGGAGGTGTCACTAGGTGCCACAGCACATGCAGTTTTAAAGATCTTTATGGGCCTTCCTGCGGGGCCTTCCTGCGCCAGCCAGCTGCAACAGCTGATATATACACATTGTTCATCCCGCTTCATGGTCTGAGCTGAGTTGAATCTCAGCTGCTTTGCAGGTGAATTCGATCGGGTTGCAGCACAACTGGCCGTCGATTCGGCACAACTGCTGGTGAAACATCTTCCCATCAGAGTGGCTGATACTCTGACCTGCGGATGTCCAAAGCCTGGCACGGCTCAGCACATGTGCGATAAGGTGCTTTGACGTTCAGTGACGCATTGACATGAAAAGAGTCAGAGTAGAACTGTGAATAGTTGTTCCAGGTTCCATAGTGATTGCATAGTCGAATAGTGAAAAACATGTCGACATAACCTGCAGCAGGAAGCATTAGTTAGCATTAATTCTTCTTGAGAAAGCCGAAGTACTGCTCAAGGAAGCGTTCCTTGGATAGTGGCACTGAATCAGTCTGCGCCAACAAATTGTCCTTCTTGACGTAGTTTGGGATTGACAGCTTTCAGCTAGTGCCGGCTTCTTGCAGCCAATGTGTCTATGTTAATCGCACCCTCAGGTGTGATCTCTGCTACAACAAGCCACTCATCCACCTTGCTAAAAACTTTGACCCATGCATGGCCACTTGTAATGGTTCTGAAAACACGGTTTGGCCTCTTCTGCGGTGAGCACATCGCCCATCCGAGTAAGAACGTGCTTGAGCTCCTGTGATGGTCATTCGGAAGGTTGGATATGGGGCAAACTCGCCGCTCTTACCACAGCCTGCCACCAGAGTGACAAACCACTAACAGGGGCCTTGACCATGATGAAGCCATCACCTGTTCGGTCGAAGACTTTCAAGGCATCCTTGGGGCAAAGACGAAGTGCGGAGACAAGTTGACGTTTTCAGATTTTCAGGCATTGCAGCATCAGAAAGCCAAACCCAGCAAAGTATAGCAAAGTGTCATTGAGTTCTTCGTATGGATCTCTGCCCACCAGCTTTGCCATCAAGTTTAAGAATTCCTGCACTAAAATGCAATGCTATGAAAAGCCGGGGAGGCTGCAGTTCCACTGACAACTGATAACTTCCACTGCACGGCTTCTGGCAGTGGTCCCACAACAAACATTCGGACTCAACTCTGCTTACCGACGGAAGCTTTGTTCAATCATAGTCTCGATACTTACTTGCATTCTACCATCTGACCTCGTGCGCAACAGCATCAAAATGTGTCAAGCTTGCTGAAACGAGGATAAAAGTCCTGGAAATCCAGTTCGCCTCGTGTGATTGCCAAACGCAGGCCACGTTAACAAAACGTGGAACGTCCAAGCGCAGACCGTCCCATGCACGTGCTTTTGCAATTAAGTCACCATTTCCGTCTTTGTCTACCTCATTGATCCATTGCACCAGCTCATCATCAGCAGGGCATTGTCCCAAGCAGCGCATTGCCGTACCCAACTCACTGGTAGAGATTGAGCCGCCGCCATCCAGGTCCTCAGGATACACCCTCTGCCAGTCTCATGGACACGACAAGAGCTGACTCAGTTTCAACTGGGATTATTTGATATTATTTGATGTATGCAAACGCAGCGAAGGGCCTACAAGAATCGCACACACACATACAATCACATACATATATATATATATATTGATCAGACTGAACAGCAGGTCTTGCCGCACAATGCCACGCGCGAGTTTGTAAGTGTGATAAGTGTACTCGTGTAAAAGTAGATAAAAGTAGCAATGAACGACTGTGAATTGTGATTGTAAAAAATGCAGTCTCGAGTCTCAAGGCTCTTTTTGACAATCTCAAAATCAGGCGAGAACATGAAGGACGCAACATCGCGAACAGTATATACGTTGGGACAAGCACAACGCGTCGTCCATGCAACAAGGCTGCATAGTCGTCGAAAGCTGCTTTGTACCTCAGTGCGCACTTTATCTCTAGTTTGTGAATGTGGACCCCTGTTGCCACCCAATGCCACACAAAGTTCTTTGATCTAAGTGGCTCAGAAACCTGCTCTTCTGTAAAATACTCAGCCATTGGCCTCAATGAAGGAGCAAAATGCACACAATGATCCGGCATTCCTGACATCACGATCTCTTGCCTGTGCCTGGTGGGAACTTCGACGGGCCTCTGTGACCGTCAAGTATCTACATGGCCTTACTTTGAGCCATTCTGCGTGATATCGGAGCAAACTGGAGGAAAGGCTGGCCCATTTGCCCTATGCGTTTCAGTCTCAAGACTCCAGAAAGAATAAACAAATCATTCCGCGAAGGTCCCGCGTGTATCTATAATATATATATATATACACACGATATCTTACAATCAGTCAGGAACAGAAAATAGGTGCTCCTCGCAGTTGTTCTGGCAGAGCCAGCTGACCTGGACTGTGAGCAAATCATCGATTGAAAGATTTTGAAAGCACGCGCTGGCGGCAACTCATGGCAAGAGTCGTCACACTCTGCCAGGGCACGCTGGACGGCTGCTTCGACCGCTGCGACCAGTGATAGCACTGAGATTCCCGGTAGAGCCTTATCATGCGACTCACGACCATTGTTGGTCCCACATGTGCGCCGCGTGCGGCAGTGTGTCTGTGTCCCATATATTGATGGCAAGGCACTTCAAATCTGAACCCTGTCTCAAGCGCCAACAAAGCCATGAAAGGAAACAACGAAGGAAAAAAAAAAGAAAGAGAGAAAGGACAAAAAAATTGTCTAAAGTCCAAAGGTCTAAACAACAGGAAACAGAACACATATAACTACGCCCGACTAGAGAGAAGTGCAAAAAAGTAAAGAACCAGGGCCTATAGCCGACCGAACTTTTAGCATTTCTATCTTTGGTCTTTGCCGGTAAAACACAATGCAACAAAAGGACCGCCCGACCGAGCACTCAAAACATTTTCATCCTTGAGATGTCCATGCATATATCATGAAATTTGATGCGTGTTGATCAAAAGTGCTGCAAATAGTGCAAAATATGAAAGAAACCTGTATTTTACAGGATCAGCACAGATTTCCTAGCTATCCTAGCTAACCCTGTAGAACCGCCAAGCGTCTCTTTTACTCTACCTTGAGAGTCCACGCTACGGGGTCCATGGGGATGAGGTGAATTTCAACACCCCCCTTTACAAGGAGCTACCCGTAGGGAAAATCTCGGGGAGGAACAAATTCTAGCGACGAAGGAATCATATTAGAAATCCCTCATCAAGCTCGTGCATGCACTGTACAAGGACAACGTAGCTACCCTAATGTACAACCTACCGGCTCACTCGGCATGTTGTTACACATGCTTGACCCAGTTTGACTAGAGCATTGATTAAAGTTCACTCTCCGCCTAAAGCAATCCGGTTAAGGATGCAGTCCTGCGTGAGACAACGTGGTGAAACATCATCTCACTCCGGGTCAGAAGATGAACTGTGTCTCAACACTCATAGGCTGTAGAGCTTACCAATCATGGTAGCTGTCCAAAACTTGCATTGTTAATAATGCCTGTACCCAAATCCTTCAATATCATCCCGCCAACCATTCTCCATCCATGGACGAAGTTCCATGTGGTTGGGCCAATAGTTTTCAGCCCATGGATCGTCTCGCTGCCATTGCGCACCAGGAAAATCAAATGAGTCCAACGGTGAATCATCCGAAGGTTGTGAACTCTTCGGCGCCGGTTGCCCAGTGCTCTGAGTGTATGACTGCCCAGTTACGGGAGTATTCGAAGGCGATGGGGACCTTGGCGGCAACGGTGGAGGAGGCATATGATCATCGTGCCACGGCCTTGCTTCATATGGGCCTTCGCGAGAACGACCCTTTGGCTTGCCTTGTCCCTTTCCTTTTACGGAAGGCTGCAGAAGAGGCGGTGGCTCTGGCGTCAGATTAAAATCTGGCGGCCTTGACTGATCTGGTAGACCGTCTGATGCAGTTGGTCGTAGCTTTGGTGGCGGTCTGGCTGCCGGTGAAAGTCCCGGCATTGGTGGGTGATTAGGGGCTGGTAAAGGTGGTGCTTGCCCAATGGGCAGCTTGGCTTTGGGTACCGGTGGTACCTTTGGAGGTGTTGTTGACGGTGGTGGTGGGATCTGTGTTGTAGTGGAGGACCAAGTCGGTCCTTTGGGACGTTTCCCCGTTTAGGGGGTAATGATATCCTGCCAACTGAGCCTCGGGGCTTCCACCTCCTGTTCCTCGCGCACCAGTTCCTCCAAAGGAAAACTTCCCTAAACGGAATGTCGTGCCGGACCCGCCAATTGCCCCCAAGGGCCATCCAACAAATTTTGTTCCTGGTACAGCAGAGCAGAATATGAGGGCCGCATGGCAAAGTGCCAAACAGCCACCATTGCCAAATGTTGAAGGCGGTGGTACTATGTCAGGCGACGGCTCAAACGCTCCCGTAAAAGGGCCCATCACCAGAAGCGCCTGTAACTAGGCCGCCGCTTCGTCGCAAACGTTCTCAAGCTTCAAATATTGAAACAGCAGATGTTGACAAGAGGCCGCGTTTGCAATGGAGGAAGAAGGAGGAGCGTGATGATGCAGGACGCTTTGCAGCTTGGTCAGATGACAGAGTTCCTCCACCTGGGCATCACGCTGACCGAACTCCAAAAGAAGTCGTTCCAAACGAATAATCTCATCGCTTGTAATGTCTTGTCCATAATCTGCGAACTTCGGTAACGAAGTGGCCATGCGTTGCATTCATGAATCCAAAATCATCGAGTGTCATACCGCGGCCTTTCTCCTGCATGCGCACTGATTGTTGTGCGTTGTGTTGATATTGCGCAATAGCATATTGTTCGTTCTGTAGCGCAAACTCTCGTAGCACACTGTACACGCCCAGCGTGTTTTATGAGGAATAGAAATATTGTGGACGTCGCCATAGACATCATCTGTAGGAATAAATCCTTGAACCTTGACCTCGTCGCGGCCATTGCCAATTACGGCAGCATACTGACGAAGAGAAAGGAATTCGCGTCTGTAACTGATGAGAAAATTCTCGCTGAGGCCTGGCTTGAAACATGTATGTAAATTGTCAACACCACGTCGAATAAAAGCCAATTTCGCCAAGTCAACTCGTTCTAGACGGTCCAGCTCGCTCACAACAGATTTCCCTTTGGATCTCTGCTTTGCTGACCTAGAAGGGGCCGGAAATTGCAGTGAAGCAAAGAGGTCTTCTTGAGCTGCGTCAAAGGCTGTGCAACCCTCTCCGGTTGAGGAGGTAGCAAGAACATCACCGCGGTTGAACCGATCGTAAACATTCTCGTGCCCCAACTTGAGAGCACGACGAAGACGATTGTTGGGTGAAAGAACCATTTGGCTGTCAACCGAAGGATCACCGCGTGGTGGAGGACGACCGGGTTGAAGATCTTGTCCGGCAATGCTGTCAAGCATGCTAGTGGAGGTGATATTGCTGGGCACACCCCCCTGCTGTTGTACTGTCCTCGCACGCCGCATTTGCAACGGCATAAACTTTGAAATAGGACCATCTGTTGTACTGCCTTGAAATACTGCGCCACATCTATAACAAGTTAACAAGATGCCATTCCTGCTAAGGAAAGCGTTGTGCACTCATTGCAGCTGAAGGTGCGGAGATGTAAAAAGCGGCCGCTCTCGATGGGGCCGACTTCAGTACGTCCAGTAGCCTCCATCTCTTCCTTCTTGACAGAGCTTCTTTGGGCAGTGCGCTCTCCTGGAGTGTCGTCGTTCATCCCGATTGCATCTGCTTGATCAGCGACGTCACCAGGAATAAGATCACCGTTCACTTGTTTGATGCCAGGCTCGATCTTCGTGGGGTCGATCGCCTGGGGCCTCGAATAAAATACTTCGGGCTCCGCATTTACGCGGGCTTTGGTTGCAAATAGAATAAATGTATTTGGCACGTGATGGCTTGCAATCACCGCGTTGGAGTTCGTCATAAATAGGTCCACGCCGGCCTCGATGACCTCGGCTGTAGAAAAACATACTTCAATGGGTCGATCTGCACGCACACCTGAAGTCGCCTTCTGGTTTCCCAGAGGTACAATCGAGAAGAAAGAGTTTCCTTTCGATTTCGTCCCACCTGCTCCTCCGCCTGGCAAAATGCCGTTGGCGATGATGGAGCGAGCCGCTTGCTCATGGGTGCGGTGGTAAAGCCGCGGTGGGATGTCCCTATTCGCGTGGGCGGTTAGGCTCATGCGATACCTGTATGATCAGGTCGGCAAAATATTAGTTTTGCTAGAACTTCATTGGACCTTGTTTCCAATACGTCATCTGTATGACCTTGTCCGCAACGGACTTTGACAGGAGCTTCATGCAACTGAAGCGCTTTGTTCACGACGGAATCGGTGAGTTCCATTTTTAGAATCACTGCTTTTAGGGGTCCAAGTGCTTCCGAACAACTTTGGTGAACTCAAAGCGGTCCTTGTCATCATAAATAGCCATTGAAATTAAACGATACAAATTGAAACTCTCTGCATACTGCGAGAAACGCTTCGCAGCAATCTCCAAAAGTTTGTAAATTGGCAAATAGCAAGCTGCATCGTAAATAGAAATATCGTGAACGTGCCCTCGCAAAATGCCTGAAATACCTTTGCGAACATGCTTGGGCCATGGGCAATCATATTCCCATGGAACGCCATGTGCATCTTCGTTTTCATAGTAATACCGATGCGCAGTAATGTGGCGCAACGTGTATTGCATGGCATTCTTGCCCAAATTTGTCTCCAACAACTGAATATTGCCATTGCCAAGGTTCTTCAACAGGTGATCCGGGTAAGGATACCGGCCGAGGACCTCCTCGATCTCAACATTCATGTTCTTGAATTCAGGGTTCGGCTTCATTTCACGAATGAGCCTGCCTTTGCCCTTTCCAGAGAACTTGAGGTCGGTCTCGTCGTCCTGTTGACCGGCCAAGCTCCCAGTTACGGGAGCTTGGGCAGGTTCCCTGACCCTGACCCTTCCCTCGCTGGCGAGGGAGCGGAGCCCTCGACGTAGAAGCGGATGAACCTCCGGCATGGGATCGCCGTCATCATCAATGTCAATAGCAATATTAAAATCTGTAGTTTGTATCTCATTTGAAATAGGATTGGTTGTCCAACACTTGAGCCTCAACTTCCATCATTTGTTGTTCTTCTTCTTGCGACACTGCAGCTACGCCATGTTGGGATCTTGTTGTGGCTGTGCGACGTCTCCTCATTCTCCATGGTGATGTCCTCAACGGCCGGGTCGATGTCCTGTTGTTCAACTTTCGGCTCGGCAGTTACGCCGGCTTGTTCGTTGACATCGTCGTCGGCGTCAAACAGCACCACATGCTCTTCAGGAAGTTCAATGTCCACAGTGGTGTTGATGTATTGCAAAAGTTCTTGTGGATCTTCCCCTTCCAGGTTAACGGAGGCACGGAGTTCTTCGACGGAGACGTCATTCGTATCGAATGGGTTGGCCGTCTGGATCTCCTCCACAGTGAACTGCCTGCTTTTCCCAATAGACTTTTTGCATCTGGCAATCCGCTCTTTTGCTAACTCTTCAACCAACTGTAAAATAGATGTATTGTTGGGAATTTCCACTCCTCCTGCTGC